CCATGATTGCCTGCACTGCTTGCAATCCCACGTCGTAGCTTCTAGCTTCTTCAAATGCAGAACACGGAGGCGACATGACTTCATGAAGATGATCTAAATACTGCACATCGTATTGCCGCCATGCCGACAACAAAGGTGGCAAAGACTGCCGAGTGAAACGTAAAAGAATTAGGAACGTAAGTCCTAGGACCACTTGATCCATGAAGCCCACTGGTGGGAAGACCATCAATGGACACAGACCATTTACACTCACAGCATGTACACTCATTTGGCTTTCGGAAGCAAGTGTCAAACACGTATTAACGTAATCCATCTCAATCCATGTGTTCCTACCCACAAATATAACATTAGTAAAAACAATCCCCACACAAACAAAACAACCCCTCGTCGCTGCCAAAGGCATCTTGACACCAAAGACCCGCGAAATCTGAGCATCTGACCTGACCGGATCGGACAACACAAAGTAATTATAACATATGGAAATGTGGTGTATGAATACAAGGTGATTTACACAATAGAACCATTAGGGGAAAAATGACATGCTATAATATGCTATATACTATTAGCAATTGATTCGATACCGGCCCACAATGACAACCCCACCCCACCCCATGCGTGACGTAAGACATCTTCAACGTAGCATGACATATGTGCGCCAGTGCAAGTTAACGTGCAGTGGCGTCGCATCACGTATGTGTGGAAGTTGCAGAAGAACGTGCAGTGGCGTAGCATCACGTATGTGTGGAAGTTGCAGAAGAACGTGCAGTGGCGTAGCATCTCGTACGTGTGCAAGTGACAATGAACGTTACCATCCCCACCCCACCCCACCCCAGCGTAGCATCACGTATGTGTGGAAGTTGCAGAAGAACGTGCAGTGGCGTAGCATCACGTATGTGTGCAAGTGACAATGAACGTTCACATATCCACCCCACCCCACCCCACCCCAGCGTAGCATCACGTATGTGTGGAAGTTGCAGAAGAACGTGCAGTGGCGTAGCATCACGTAACAGAAGAACGTGCAGTGGCGTAGCATGTATGTGCCAGTGAGCATCCGTGAAGTGACAATGAACGTTCCACCCCACCCCACCCCACCCCAGCGTAGCATCACGTATGTGTGGAAGTTGCAGAAGAACGTGCAGTGGCGTAGCATCACGTATGTGTGCAAGTGACAATGAACGTTCACATATCCACCCACCCCACCCCACCCCAGCGTAGCATCACGTATGTGTGGAAGTTGCAGAAGAACGTGCAGTGGCGTAGCATCACGTATGTGTGCAAGTGACAATGAACGTTAACATCCCCACCCCACCCCACCCCAGCGTAGCATCACGTATGTGTGGAAGTTGCAGAAGAACGTGCAGTGGCGTAGCATCACGTATGTGTGCAAGTGACAATGAACGTTAACATCCCCACCTCACCCCACCCCACCCCAGCGTAGCATCACGTATGTGTGGAAGTTGCAGAAGAACGTGCAGTGGCGTAGCATCACGTATGTGGAGAAAAACCCCACACAAAGTTGTGGAGAAAAACAAGAACCCCACACAAAGTTGTGGGGAACAAAACAAAAAACAAAACAACGAAAACACAAAAAAAAAAACAAGAAAAACAAAATGACAAGACCCAACTCTCTGCCACTACTACCCCCCCTTGCGGTGTGCAATCTTGTTTTTTTGGTTTTTTGTTTTTTGGTTTTTTGGTTTCGTGTTTTCTGGTTCAGGTGGCTCCTTGAAGGGCTAAGGACCTAGACCTAGCTCTTTGCCAGTTCTCCCACTTTAGGGGTTGCAGACTTGCTTTTGGTTGATTTTATTATTTGCTTTGGGCCTGTGGTTCCATTAGCAACCACTGTAAAAAATTATGGCAAAATGCAAGTATCACTGGAGGAAGCTTGGGGGGCTTGGGACACAAATTAGGCAATTTTGTTTGTTTATGTAATTTCTCAAAAACAGTGTTGAACAAATGCAAAAACATAGGCAGCCAATGAATGTGTAGAACTGATTTTGATATAGACATTCTTGGCTCAAACCCTTGGGTTAGCACATGTTCAAACACTTTGAAAGATTCCCTTGAAAAGGAGTGATGCATCTCTTTGAAGTGAGTGATTCCTTCAACAAGTGCATTTCTTTTTTAAAATGGTAGAGCCCGGTAGAGCATCCCATTGAATTAGGTCATGTCTTAGTCTACTTCTATGTCAAAAATGAACCCTCTTGCACATGCAATGCCCTTTTCACAATATATTTTCTTAAATGAAGAACACATGGTACATGTAAGCACGTCAGATATGTCCTTCACAATTGCACATCATTTTTCTGAATGCATAATGTGATATTTTCCAAGACAACGAACCATATTTTGGGAATAGCACCCTTGGTGTAGGCAGCTCCCCTCTTGAAAAATATTTTAATTTGAAGAATGTGCATCTTTAAATCTTAAGACGATCAAACATTGTTTGAACATATGGTAGCGCCCACAGTTTCAACCATATTGCACTTTTGAAAGGGATGCTCTATGCCAACAATACTGCATATATCATGCAGAAAAATTGACTCTTCTAAAAGGGTACTGCTCCTTTGAAAGGAGGGTTAGACATCTGGAAATACACACTACACTCCTTCAAAGGGCATGGTGCAACTTTTCAGGGAATACTTCATATTTTGTTTGGATATTACCCCTGCAAAAACACACTGCATTGCCCCAAAGGAAGATTGCTCTTATTCAGAAGGATATGTTTGTTTTGAATACTGCATTTGTTGGAAGGCATTGGGATGTTGTAATTATGTTGAAGTCATCTAGCATATTCTGCAGAAATTGTGTTTTGTTGAAGGGACCCTGTAGTAGCATTTATCTAAGGTAGAGTGAACACCTGGACACTTCTTCAAGCAATACATGCTCTCTAAGTGGACATGAACACAGCTTCATCTGCAGCTTAAGTTTCAATGTGATTACAGTTTTGAAAAAAAAACAATAAAAAAAAGTGCACTCCCACTCCTGCGCTCAAATTGTAAGAGTTTTGCACCATTTCCCCTGCCTTCATCACTTGGGCTGTACTGTACAGTTTGATTTTGCTTGGAGACCTTGGGAACAACTTTTGTAGCTAGCTGCGACTGGTTCTGTAGTGGTTCGGACTCAAATTTTGGCCGAACTGCTGCTCAACTGTTCGCTGTTTTTACGTTGCTTCCGACCGACGTCGGACACGCTTCGCTTCTTTCCTGATCTGCTCTCCGCTGGTGGGGTACCCCATGGATGGGGAGAATAGATTCATTGAGTTGCATAGTTCCACGTCCATTAACTGGGCTTGTGGATTTTTTGAAGCCTTTTGGATCCTGGCATGATGGACGTGGTTTCTTCCGGATTGCTTACCTGCAACCATGGAAGGTTCAGTATAACCATGGAATGATTTCAGGAACGTTGAGTAGATATTGAGAACATTGACAGAATATGTAGAACCATGACACAGTAGCATGCAAGTGTCATAGATAGGTAAAAGTGTTCAAAATATCCTGGTTCTTTTGTCTTTTGGCCAATTCCACGTGGTTCATGACCGTTTCGGCCTGTTTCAGCACGCAGCTCTTTTCTTGTTCATTGGGTGCATCGGGTTCTGCGCGGCCTGAATGTATGCTAACCTTCCCGGAGTGTATGCTAACCCTTCCCAAGTGTATGCTAACCCTCCCCGGGGTCCATGCTAACCCTTCCCAAGTGCATGCTACCCCTCCCGGAGTGCATGCTAACCCTTCCTAAGTGTATGCTAACCCTGCCTGAATGTATGCTAACCCTCCCGGAATGCTAACCCTTCCAGAGTGTATGCCAACCCTCCTGGAGTGTATGCTAACCCTCCAGAGTTTATTTTTTTTTCGGACTGTATCCTAACCCGTCCCGAGTGTATGCTAACCCTCCCGAAGTGTATGCTAACCATCCCCAAGTGTATGCTAACCCTTCCTGAATGTATGCAAACCTTCCCGGAGTGTATGCAAACCCTTCCCAAGTGTACGCGAACCCTCCCGGAGTGTGTGCTAGCCGTTCCCGAGTGTATGCTAACGCTGAGTGTAGGCTATACCCCTTCCTGAGTGTATACTCACCCTCCCGGAGTGTACGCTAACCCCTCCCAAGTGTACGCGAACCCTTCCTGAATGCATGCTAACCCTCCCGCAATGCATGCTAACCCTTCCCAAGTGTATGCTAACCCTCCCCGAGTGTGTGCTAACCCTGCCTGAATGTATGCCAACCCTCCCAGAGTGTATGCTAACCTTCCCAAGTGCGTGCTAACCCTCCCGGAGTGCATGCCAACCTTTCCTGGGTGTATGCTAACCCTCCCGGAGTGTTTGCTAACCCTTCCCAATTGTATGCTAACCCGGAGTGTATGCTAACCCTTCCCGAGTGCACGATAACCCTCCCAGAGTGTATGCTAACCTTTCCCGAGTGTATGCTAACCCTCTAAGCCTTCCGAAGTGTATGCTAACCCTGCCTGAATGTATGCTAGCCTTCCCGGAGTGTATGCTAACTAACCCTTCGCAAGTGTATGCTAACCTTCCCGGAGTGTATGCTAACCTTTCCCGAGTGTGTGAGACCCCTCCCGCTGCTTTTAAAACCTTTCCTGAGTGTATGCCAACCCTTCCGGAGTGTATGCTAACCCTTCGCAAGTGTATCCTACAACCCTGCCTGAATGTATGTTTACGCTCCCGGAGTGTATGCTAACCCTCCCGGAGTGTGTGCTGACCCTTCCCGAGTGCATGCGAACCCTGCCAGACTCTGCATCCTACCTGTCTGCAAATAACTTTGCATTACTGCCAGTGATGTAAGATTCTGGCCAAAAATGAACGGGCTGAGGAATATTGTTGAAGTGGTGTTGTCAAAACTATTGCCCAATCCTACCTAGTCGTGGTTCTCCTTTAACGAAGCATGGTTCCGCATTTTCTTGTCGTAGTTACCAGATCTTACATTATGCCGTGGTTCCGGCGTGTTCTCAAGACGTCTTGCATTATTCTTTGGCCGCTAGGCAGACACAAATGTCGCGCAGTTGTGTACAGAAAAGTCTCAGAGCAAGTTTGCAAATCTCGGTGCCTCACCGGACCTCGTCAGATAGGATTTCCCGATTGAAATCGGAATATAGAAAATGGCAATACCCCCAGATGACCATTGAAATCTGGAAAATCCAATGGAAAATGATGATAATCCAATGAATTTTGGGTACACTATTTCCAGACGACCCAAATGTCACATGAAATTTGCCAGATCGAATGTCAGTTGGATAATGTCAGCGCTGATGTCACAGTTTGATGTCAGGAGTTATGTCAATATATTTGCCCAAATATGTTTATGTCAGAATGCTTCAGAATTTTGACTGGATTTTTACACTGTTACACTACGGTGGAGATGACACAAAGTAACATGATTTCCTGAGATGTTCATTGTTGGACCCTCATTTGTTTTGCCAGGCCTTGGCATTTCTCCCAGAGATCCAGGGTTTGTCACAGCCGGGCATCATCATTTCCAACGCGGCCATCAGTGCCTGCGCGAAAGGCTGGGGTCGTTCAACGCAGCATCAATGGATTGATAGCAAAGACTTAGAGGAAACCCCGGGTATTCGGTGGTAAAGTGTCAAACGGATTTCTTTCCTTCAGCCAACCCAGTGACACCAAGGAGTTGCGTTGACATATCGCCAATGTGGGCTGTGACACCCAGTAGTAATTGGACGGAACTGGCCACAGGGCACAATGGGGCACCATGAATAGTTGGGTTTGCCTGCGCCACTATCATGTTTCCAATGGTTTATTACCATTTTCCGCGTTCAAATGGCCATTGATGGGCAAATCCCATTTTCAGACAGACCCGTTTCCTGTTTGAAGTGGGAAAAAGACTCCCAAACACGCCATAGGGGGAGCTTGGCCAAAAGCCTTAGAACTCTTGGAGCAGCGTCTACAGATGCTTGGATTTTGTGTTATGTGGTGATTTCTGCAAAAGTACGGAGTTTTGAGGTACATGCTGTTTGGATCAATGCATCTTGGTCGGTTTGGGTCAATTTGCCTGTACCATCTTGGTGCATGGATAGTCAACCTTCAAAAGCCAAATGCCTGCGGCGGAAGCTGTTGCATATATTGCATATAGCAAGCGGGGTTTCGCAAGCATGATACAATGGTTTTCAAACAAAAACAAGATGAAGCCCACGAACCCGAATGCTCACACGTATGTTACTGGTACAGATGTCAATACACATGGTTATGCAGTCACGCACAATACCTTTCCGCAATAGTTTATTTGAACAGTCTTGTACATGTTTCACTTGTTACCAGTCTGCAGTGTGGGGTGGAAAGTGTAGAGTGTGGAGTGTGGAGTGTGAAGTAAGGAGTGTGGAGTGTAAAGTGTGGAGTGGGGAGTGTAGACTCTAAAGTGTGGAGTGTAGAGTGTAAAGTGTAGAGTATGGAGTGTGGAGTGTAAAGTGTGGAGTGTAGAGTGTGGAGTGTGGAGTCAGGAGTCTAAAGTGTAAATTGTGGAGTGTGGAATGTGGAGTGTAAAGTGTGGAGTGTGGAGTGTGGAGTGGAAAGTGTAGAGTGTGGGTGCGGAGTGTAAAGTGTAAAGTCTGGAGTGTAAAATGCCAAGTGTGGAGTGTAGAGTGTAAAGTGTAGAGTGTAAAGTGTAGAGTGTGGAGTGTAAAGTGTAAAGTCTGGAGTGTAAAATGCCAAGTGTGGAGTGTAGAGTGTAAAGTGTAGAGTGTAAAGTGTAGAGTGTGGAGTGTAAAGTGTGGAGTGTAAAGTCTCGAGTGAGGAGTGAGGAGTGTAAAGTGCAAAGTGTAAAGTGTGGAGTGTAAAGTGTAAAGTGTGGAGTCTAAAGTGTAAATTGTGGAGTGTGGAGTGTAAAGTGTAGAGTGTGGAGCGCGGAGCTTCCCCATAGACACGGCGACGCCACAGGAAAACCAGAGACTCGAGACGAGCATTTCGCGCGAGACTTCCTCCAATTTTGACATTTTCGAAACGTTATCAAGCAGCTTGGAATGTCACAAAGTGCCACGCCTGCCACGCAAAACGACATGACAACCTGCTTGGAAACCTTCGAAAAGGAAAGGTTTTGCAGCTTCCCCCATAGACACGGCAACGCCACAGGAAAACGAGAGACTCGAGACGAGACGCGTGGGAGCACCAAAACGAGCATTTCGTGCGAGACTTCCTCCAATTTTCACAGTTTGAAACATGCCGAAAGAACATGTTTTGCAGCTTCCCCTATAGACACGGCGAAGCCACCAGAAAACCAGTGACCCGAGACGAGACAGGTGGGAGCACCAAAACGAACATTTCGTGCGAGACTTCCTCCAATTTTCACACTTTGTAGCTTCAAAATCGACGTTTTCCTACGAGTTTTCGTAGGAGGTTAAATCTTGTAACCTCAAAATCGATGTTTCGTGCGAGGCTTCCGTCAATTTTCAGCACATGTCACAAAATGCCACGCCCGCCACGGAATTTGCAACTTGTCGTCACTTGACGCAGCCCTGCCAATGCGATTTGCAAAAAACACGTGACAGGACACGTCTAAAGTGCTGCGCCTGCCACGAAAAATGACGATGGACACGTCCAAAGTGCTGCGCCTGCCACGAAAACTGCCACGCATCTTCGGAAAACGTCGCAAAAGTATTGCACCTGCCACACAAAACGACTTTCGACACGTTACAAAACACGTCTGAATGTCACAAAGTGCCACGCCTGCCACGCGAAACGAAGCAACGAAACGCTGGAAACCTCCAAAAATGACCCCTCCTGCAGAACTTACCATAGGCACGGCCATACGGGGATCGCACGAACGGTTGCGGACGGTTGCGACCGTGAACGCAACGTCGAGCGAACAAACCCTCAACCCCCAGACCCCCAGAGTGAAACGGGAACCCTTGCTACGCATTCGGGAAAAAGCTACCCCAAAAGTACAACTCGAATAGGGAAAATGATGATTTGCCCACCCGTAGGCTTCAAAGAAAGCCAGGGCTCAGCATTCGCCAAGGATTGGAGATGCCAACATCGTCACCTTCAGCCACTCGCAATTTCCGCCGTTTCACTTTTACTTGTAGAATATTGTACAAGAACATATATATATATATATATTTGATTTTATATGATTTTTGTTTGATTTTGTTTTTTTATATTACTTATTATTTTATACCAGTAGTACCGCACAAGGCGGTGGCGGAAGTTTCAAAAATAGGAAACCTATAGGAGAGGTTGGTTGTTGTGAATCACGGATGGCAGAGCGAAGCCACTGATGGACTGACAGGTGGTTGAGGTCTCTTCTCTTTCTCTCTCTTTCTGTCTCTTTCTCTGACTGTCTACCTACCTAGCCACCTATGTATCTATGTATCCATCTCTCTCTCTCTCTCTCTCTGTCTGCCCCTCTGTCTATCTGTCTATCTATCTATCTATCTACCTGTCTGTCTGTCTGTCTGTTTATCTATCTATCTGTCTGTCTATCTATCTATCTATCTATTTATCTTTCTATTCATCTGTCCATCTGTCCATCTGTCTATCTGTCTATCTATCTGTCTATCTGTCTATCTGTCTAACTATCTGTTTATCTATCTACCTAATCTATCTATCTATCTATCGATCGATCTATCTATCTCTCTCTCTCTCTATCTGTCTTTCTATCTATCTATCTATCGATCGATCTATCTATCTATCTACCTATCTATCTATCTATCTTTCTATCTATCTATCTAGCTGTCTCTCTATCTATCTGTCTCTCTGTCTATCTATCTATCTAGCTAGCTAGCTTCCTATCTATCTACCTATCTACCTAGCTATCTATCTATCTAGCTATCGATCTATCTATCTATCGATCTATCTATCTATATCTCTCTCTCTCTCTGTCTGTCTGTCTATCTATCTATCTACCTGTCTATCTGCAAGCTTGAAAACTAAGCAATTCTGCGAGACGTCTTCTTTTTTTGAACTTGACAACATCCAAAACGAAGCAATTCGGCGAGACTTCTTCAATTGTTGAACTTGGCAACATCAAAAACAAAGCAATTCTGCGAGACTTCCTTCAAAAATGGAAAGTTGAGTGCAGCTCTGACAGCCTCGTACCAATGCGTTTTGCGATTTTTCCACTCCACCTGTCTAAAGTACTGCGCCTGCCACGAAAAAATGATGCCAGGTCATACGAAGTGCTGCACCTGCCACGCAAAATCATCTTAGCAAACCTACAGATCTGATGCTCCAAAATGCAACCGCTCTCAGGAAATCAGCGCCCTGACCTCCCAACATCTCTCATGAACATGTCTTTTGTACTGCGCCTGCCACTCGAAATGCATCTTTGCAGATCCTCTTCAAATGTCCCACGCCTGCCATCGTTTTTGGAAATGCCACAAAAATCTCACGTTTTGCTCACTTTTGACAAGGTGCACAATCCCTTGCGCCTGCCACGCGAAACGAGAACTGAACGTCCAAAAGTGGTCCGTACGTGGTGTGTTTTGTACATTTTGACTTCGAAATGTGCTTCACGCCACAATGGCGTGCACTTTTTCGACATCTCAACTTCCGAGCATGGTGTGTTTTGTACATTTTGACTTCGAAATGTGTTTCGCGCCGCAACGGCGTGCAATTTTTCATCTCTCATCTGGCCACATGGCTCCGCACCCGCCGCTTTAGCGAGCCTACTTTTCGACCCTCCGGAGCCACAAATCTTTGGAAAAACACAGTGTTTCGCGACTTTCCTACCTTTTCGCGCATCTGCATCTTCTTTCTTCTGACTCTTTCTCTTCTACTCTTCTCTCTTCTACTCTTCTCTTCTCACTGACTCTTCCCATCTCTGCTTTTCATCTGTCCATATTGTCGGAAGTTTGACTTCTAAACTTCCCTCGATTATTTTGTATTATTCAATATTATTGTACATTATTTACTATTATTATGTGATATTGTTTTTATTATTCAATATTATTGCATATTGCTTTTTATTATTTTCTATGTTTTTATAATATGTTTTTAAAATTATTGTTTTATATCGTTTATTTACTATATTATGATACATATATATATATGTGTGTGTGTATGTATGTATCATTGTATTCTATAGATTTCTGAGAGTGGTCGACTTACCCCCAATCTATAGCCATTTGAATTGGAAAAGTTGCGATCGCCGCTCAAAGCCAAGGTGCTGCCATCAGTGCATGCGAAAAAGGCACGGGCAGTGTGCAGTGGATTCGTTCGACCCCAATCGGCTCATGATGGTTGATGGTACTTTTTTTTAACAACGCGTATTCCCCAGTAAGGGTTGGAAAACCATCAAAATATAGGAAATACCGCTGATAAATTATGGTTGGTTGATGATTAGTGCGGGAGTCACCTGAATATGTCGGAGATTATTGTCATCCATTGTTGAAATACCTACTAACCAACCACTACAGTGGAATGGCAGAATGCTTCGAACCTGCCAAGTTTGGCAAGAGTTTGCGGAGGTGAGCATTCAATTTCTACAGTGAATTTATTGTAATGGGTGCCAACTATCCTCCCAAATGGTACCCTCTGGTAAACATACAAAAAACCATGGAAAATCACAATTTCAATGGGTAAATCCACTATAAATCACCATTTTCAATAGCTATGTTAAATTACGAGAGGGTACGTTCATTATCGGGTTTCCCACATTCTTCCATCGTGGAGTATGGCAAGGGCTCCAAATTATCCGATCATCGCCTGACGTCCCGAGCAGGATCGTTTGATCTCCTACTAAGAATAAGCATGAATAGACATAAATAAAGCCTCAGAAAACCACGTGTTGATTTGGGTCATTTTGGGTCTGTTCTTTTTGCAGGTCCCATATCGGGAGTATCCGATCTTGAGGGGATGTGATGTCCAAAGATACCAACATCGAGCAGGTGGCGTGTGGCAGCAAGCCGTTCAACTGCTTCGTGCCATTCCTCGCTATCGTTTGCAGGCAACAGCACCTTGCAGCGCAGATATGAGCTGAGCGCCGAAAAGTATGCTGATCTGGGGATGGTCAAAACCTATGAAATTAAGGACCATGTTTGGAGGAATAAACATGCACAAATGTGCCTGTTGGTTTTGGCAGGTTTGACTCATAGCCATATGTCCAAGTCTTGATCTGGATTGGAAGCTTGTCTGGCCTCAGATCTTTTTGAAGCTGAGACAAGTCATACTGTGAGCGTGTTAATGGGTAATGGGAGAGATCCTCCAAGAATGACCATTTTAGTTGCAAAAATATTGGAAATAACTATCAACCATGGCATTTTGGGGGAGCTTCTAGTTTGCGCCCAGTCTAGATGGCTGGCCTGAATCAAATTACCTATGAAGGACCAGATTTTCCGGGGGTGAACATCCATTTCACTGAATGGTTCAAATCTGCTTGTTCTACCAGGTTCTACCGTTAAATTGGGAGGATGACCCACCAATCAGCGAGGTCATCTCCTACAATGCAACCATCAGCGCCTGCGAGAAAGGTGACGCATGGCAAATGGCCTGTGAGTTTCTGTGCCCAAAAATGGGGCGGGAAATCCCCAAAGAAAATGGAGGTTTATAGCTAGGAAATTCATTGCCAGGTTTGATTACCAGAGGGTGTCGGGTTTCCGTTTTGCAGCTGCACTTCAGAATTGGATAGTTTCGAACTCAGTAGGCATGACCAAAGATTTCCAGGTCAGCTTTGCAGGTGGCTTTGTGGAGCTGAAGTGATGTTTACG